ATTTTATTACGCTATCATTTTGTGTTATATCAAAATTTACTTCTTATACGGGTTGAATTTAGAGGTTATGTTCCTTTCACTACTTAAAAGTACAAATGTTTATCATTGGTTGTGTTTTATTTTAATAAGCTATAATTTTGTGTTACATCAAAATTTACTTTTTATTATGCGGGTTGAATTTAGAGGTTATGTTAATTGCCTCTGTTTTCTATCGGAAGGCTTGCTTACCTCTTACTTTACTGTTATTACTTAAGTTCACTCTATTCTTGTTTCGTCTTCAACGTTATGTTAACTAAACTTTGTTTCTCTTTCTATTATTAACTGCAGCGGTATTCTACGATTTTATCTATGTTTTACTTTTTTAATCTTTCTCTAAATGTATGCTGTGCCATATGCATATGATCTAGTTCACACTGCCAAAGTGCCTTTGTTAACATACTAGATTGTTATAATAGTTCTTATCTCTTATATTTGCTACTCTTGTTTTTGTTTTGTTTTTAGTATGTGTTGTTTTCCTTTACGTACTAGGTGTTAATTGTACTGATTATCGACACCAAATTTTGCTACGCCAAATGAGAGACAGAGACCTGTCCCTACTTCATGATTATGTACAGAATATTTCAAGTGACAACGCTAATAACCTAAAAATAGTCCATATAAATGCTCAATCGTTAAATGATACCTCACATCATTCTGAATTTCTATCAACTTTTACGGATTGTGGCATAGATGTAATATGTGTGTCTGAAACTTGGCTTAGGTCCGGCGAGCAGGTACAGCTACCCGGATTTAACTCATTCAATGTAACTAGGAAGAATAAGCATGGAGGTGGAGTATCCATATTCGTGAGATCGGATTACCCTACAAAAGTTCTTTACTCTTCGACTGGCGAAAGTGATAGACCGGAATATATTATTGTTGATGTAAAAGCTGGAAATACTAAGATAATGGTTGCAGGAATATATAGACCACCGAAGATAGGCCATCTGGAGCTCTTTCTTGATGACATGTATAAAAGCATGGTAAATTATAAGTACGCATTTGTGGCGGGAGATTTGAACGCTCGATTTGGTAGTGGCACCGATGAAACTGCTAATGTTACCGATATGCTCAGGCTGTGTAACCTATCTTGCGTACCCTTCGATCCTACGTACCACACAGCTACGTGTGACTCAAATCTAGATGTAATAGCGAGTAACTGCCAGGATAAACTAATAACTTATGGCCAGAGGACGGCTGCTGGGTTTTCAGCTCATGATCTCATTTACTCTGTGTTTGACTTAAATGTGCCCTCTTTTAAGAAGCACTCGATTACTTTCAGGAACTTCAATTGTATAGATGAGAGCAAATTGCTTAGTGATGTCGAAAATGCTGGATGGCTTGAGTTTTTCCAAGAAAAAGATGTGGATAAGAAATTACTAGCTTTTAACTCAAAAATTGTCGAATTAATGGATAGGCACGCCCCTCTAGTCGTTAAAAGGGTAAAACATTTCAATGCTCCCTGGATGACAGCTGATATTAAAGCTCTCCTTAAACAAAGAGATAAATTAAGGACAAAATTCAACTGTACTAAATCTCAACAAGACGGTGATGCATTTCGTGCATCTCGGAATAAGGTCAAACAGGTAATAAGGAACGCTAAAATCAGATACTTCTATAATGCTTTTACACAATGCACTGACTCCAAAGTTCTCTGGTCCACAGTTCGATCACTCCGTATTGGTAAATCTTCCTCGCAAAAAATTGATCCTGTCATACCGGTAAATGATTTAAATACTCACTATGCGTCAGTCTCTAGTGTTCGTAATCCCAGTCTTCTTGAGACAGTAAAAGACCATTACTCTGGTGCACAGCGATTGCTTCCTGATAAAAATGAACAGTTTTATTTCCTCTACGCTATGCCCCATGATATATTCAAAGCTATTCACAGCATAAAGTCAAAAGCAACGGGAGTCGATGATCTACCTGTAATGTTTCTGAAGATGTGCTTGCCTGCCTTAATGCCCGTTATTGAGCATCTTTTTAATTTCTGTCTACAAAACAGCGTCTTTCCCTCCACCTGGAAAATGGCAAATATACTACCGATACCTAAAACTAAAAGTCCAACAGAATGTAAAGATTATCGACCTGTAAGTATACTTTGTGTGCTTGGAAAAGCCCTCGAAAAAATTGTTCATGCTCAAGTTACTAGTTTCCTGAACGAACACAATCGCTTTACCCAACTTCAATCTGGATTTAGAAAGGGACACAACACGGTAACAGCCCTAATTAAAGTAACTGATGATATACGGAAGGCAATCGATAAGAGACTCCTAACGCTGCTCGTGCTCCTAGATCTCAGTAAAGCATTTGACTGTGTTCACCACGAACTGTTACTTGTAAAACTTAGACACATTGGATTTTCTAGCTCCGCTGTTGCGTGGTTTAAATCCTATCTAAGCAATCGCTGTCACAGAGTGTTTGTGACTAAAGATCTATCCTCAGAATGGTTGTCAGCTAACACAGGTGTGCCGCAGGGGAGCGTCTTAGGACCCCTACTGTTCCTTATATATCTGTTTGATCTCCCATCCATCCTTAAATCATGTTCATATCATATGTATGCTGATGATATCCAGCTTTATTACCACTTCCGTTTAATCGATTATGATACTGCACTTTCTAAAGTCAGTGAAGACATACTGCGAGTGATTAAATTCTGTGAGAACCACAACCTAGTCCTAAATGTAAACAAAACTCAAGCCATCATATTAGGGACACAAAGGTACTTAACGATGTTGAACTCCACCCCAGTAGCTCCTCTGGTCCTAAATGGTTGCATAGTTCCTTATTGTACGGTTGTCAATAATCTTGGGGTACTTTTCGACCCTACACTCAGCTGGACAGAGCACTGCATGGCTACCGTTCGCAAAGTGTTCGGCGTTCTTGCTCAATTGAGGCGCAATTTCTC